CAACACTAAGTTCACAGTCCTCCTGTAGGGCCCTACACAGCTGCTGTAAGAACAGCTGAGGGTGTGAGTCTAGGTGTGATTCAGTCACTCGTGCACAGCAGATAAAGAAAGTGCTCTTGGACAGGAAACAGCCATTTCTGAAGGCACCACCTGTTCCTCACAAATTTGTATTTGGGATGTAGAAGTGCATCAAATGAAACTGTGACCCTCCTTGTAAAAACAGGATAAATATGGATTTATTTGCAATGTACACTCATCAACCATGCGGCGCTGATGGTGTGAGGCCAAGAGAGTTTGCTGACACACAAACATGGTACGGCGTCCTCTGTACACTCGTGTTTTGTACAAATCTCCTTCTTCGGCTCCAGAGCAAACGGAGTTTCTCAGCTGTCGGAGAGTCCGAAATTCATCGCGGCTGTCAGGGTGTCCGAGAGCTTGGTTGCGATTTTATCTGAGGGATTGGGGAGAGAAAAAAAACAGGAACTGATCACAAACAGATATTTGCCAGAGTTGATCACACTAAGCCACAGCTGCACAACCACCGTAGCCCAGCAGGATTTCTGGGTCCTTTTATTCTGTGAATGCAACAAAGTGTTCAATTGGCCCAATTAATTAGCTCAAGGGGGTAGTTAGAGAGCTCAGCTGGAATGCAGATCGTACGATCCTGGAGCTCTTAAAGCCTGAAACTGCAGTGTCCCATGATGCACGGCCATGCCCATTCCCTTTCCCTTTCCTGCTCTCAGAGCAAACCTGGCGTGCAGAGCGTCATAGCTGCTGTCAGGTAGCAGGGGGGCAGTGAGTGCACCGTCTGGCTATAGTCCCTAGAGGCACATGCACAGACCACACATGAGGGGATCCCATCTCTAACATATCAAGTCCACCATACAGCCATTTTCTTAAGTCTCTTCAAACTGTTACCAGGCCACGTGTGTGGAGAAGGATGGAACTGATCTGATCAAATACTGGGCAATAGTGGATAGAGTTCATTGGTTAGAGCTGCTGCCTCAAAGTGTTGGGGCTGGTGGATTCATTCCTGGGGTGCTGTCTGTGCGTTCTCCCTGTGCTCGGGTGGGTCTCCTCTGGGTGCTCCGATCTGCTCCCACCGTCCAAAGACATACTGCTGGGTTAACTGGATTCTGGGAAAATTTGGCCCTGGCTCGAGTGTGTCTGTCTGCGTGTGTCCAGCGATGGACTGGCGTCCCATCCAGGGTGTATCCTGCCTTGTGCTATCTGCTTGCTCCACACGACTCCGTACTGGATAAAGCAGTTGGAAAGTGGATGGATGGTGAAATCTCATTTGAACCCTCTTCTCAGGTCAAGGGTAGTTGTGGTGTGCTGGTACACAGCTGGGCACAGCTGTAGCCAACAGCTAAGACCTGCTGGACACCGAATTAGGGCTGTGTGGCCATGCTCATGTGACCCGTGCCCTTTCCCAGAGCTGACCGGTCCCACTCTTTGCTGCCCTGGAGGCCGCGTGAGGCGGGGTCCCGGGTTCGAGGCCGCGTACCTGCCCTCTTCTGCTGCTTCTTCCTCTTCTTGCCGGCTGCCAGCAGCGCCTGACCCTGCTGCAGGGGGTCGATGTCCAGGATGTCCGACAGGCGGGGCGCCCGGGGCACTTCGGCGCGCCCGGCGGCTCCGGCTCCGCCCGACCTCGTGCGCGGCCGAACCAGCTGCACCGTCATCGGCCCGAGCTGCGCGAGAGGAGGGGAGAGGGACAGTCCCAGACCGCGGGAACGCCAGGCCACACCTGGACGCCTCCAGCCGCAACTCCACGCTAAAAGCGTGTGATTCATTAACAAACACTAACGATGGAGAGAAATGCGACACACGCACTCCTATTCCTGCTAACAGGCCTCTGAACCGGCACAGCAGCGGGGTCTCAGGCCCTGCCGTCACCGAGGCTGCCCAGTACGCGCCCCGCCGTACACATGACTAGAGCCAGGGGGCGCCAGCGCGCACGTCACGGTTCTCACCCACCCACGGCCTAAATCCCCCCCCCAAACACGTGCACTTAAGCACCACCCCACCTCCGCATCCTGGTCGTCCTCCATGGACTCGGCCCCCTCCTCGGGGTCGGGCTCTTCCCGCGACGCGTCGTCCATGTCCTGC